AGAAAGTTCACATCGTGGAAGTATGATGAGGGAGAATCATTTTAACAAGGGAAGAGCTAGAATCAGGAGTCTTGAGTAGGGAGAGGATGCCAAGAAAGGAAACTGACTGTTGAACTGGTCAGAGACTCATTCTCCAATTTTGACAGGAGGTAAAGAGTGAGAAATAAGCCGAGGAGACGGCCTTTTTGTAAGGGGAAGATGAAGAAATCACTGTATTTTCAATTAAAGTATGAGGTAACATCATCAAATGAGRGTAAAGGAGGAAGTGTGAAGAGAAAATGCAAAATCCTTATAAAGAAGGAAAGAAGGAACATGCTGGGTTTGGGGTTAGAAATGTACAAATCTGAATTTAAAGTGAGAAGAGGAATTTTCTCCAGTCCTGAGAGATGAAGAAAAGGGATAGATTATTTACATTCACCTAAATAATCATAAATCCCAATCCAAGTGTCAGAATCCTAACACTAATATATTGCTTGTTTGCTGGTGGGAATATAAATTGACATAATCCCTTCTGGAAAGAAATTAATCAACATGTTACTTAGTTACATAAAAGTAATTGTGAGATGGTGACAAAATGGGTATTTAGGAGTTAGGTACATCTGCACTCAGTCATGTGTGCCCAAACGTCCCCTGAGCTTGCATCCTTTTTGCCACAAAAAAAAAATGTAGTTGAGCAGAACGACTGTATAAAATACAGTTTTGGAATAAGATGCTACCTAAGCCCATTAGACGACTTAATTTGAATCTTTTGAAGTAAGTTCTAGTTTCAATTTAATGTTGCATCCAGCATTTTAAGTTTAGGAATGGCAACTTTAACATTTTTAAGCAATTTTTAACATCAAGCAGGAACATTACAATACATTTTTCCATCAGATTTTGCAATAAACTTTTCAGGCAAAATAAGAATTACTTTGTTTTGATAAAGATCACTTAACCTAAGGCTCCCAGGTGTTTTAGGAGCAAATCAAATTATATTTGCAACCCTCTTGCCAACCTTTTAGTATCAGAGAAATGAATGCAAACAGATGAAAAAAAAAAAAAACAAACAGACCACATTATAAAACATGCTTAATGGCACAAAGTGAGACATTCAATGACATTGTAGGATGAGGAAATAAAAAAGAAGGTCAGGAAAATGAAAATGCTTTCTCAAAGAAAGCAGCAAATTTCCATGCAGCAGGAAACAGAGCAGCTCTGGTGTAGACAGGGGTAAGGCCCATGAGTCTTAGTCAGCAGAGATCTTCCTGATCCCTTAAAGGGTATTACTGCCCAAGAACCTTCAGAGAAGCTATATTCTGCATTAGGATGGTAATGGGCTCTATGCAGACCATCCTCTGGCCTCCCATGGTGAGCTGGGCCTTTGCCAGAGGTTTGGTTCATCATCATGATCAGCKAAGTTCAAGTGGTAAGCATAAGCTAGTATGGGCCAAAGTTTCAAGCTGAAAGGGCTAGAAGACTCAGGAAAAAAAATGGTTCATGATTTACAATAACCTTTTATCTCAATGAGCACAATCACTCTCAAACATCTGCGTGAGCAGTCTGGGACTACTCTGGAGTCCTCAAAGTTAAGGATCAATAATTTCCCAAAAGAAGGCCAAGTTGACATATGAACCTACGTCATGGATGGCTCATCCACAGCCAAAGATCTTCATCTGTCCCAGATAAAGMAAAAGCCCTCATTGATCCTGGTACTGCAAAGGCTGGGCATGTATAGGAAGTGGAGACCAAAAGAGCTAAGTGGAGAATGACTTAGCAGTTCACGMTACTGGTGGATAGAGAGGGTGAGGGTCAAGCACAGTATCAGTGGTGAAAAGAATCCAACCTTAAGGTCTCAGAAATTCAGGCAATCCAACTCAAACCCATAGCCAGCCATAAAGCAATCTCTGTTCCAAAGGAGCTTTCTTCCTCAGGAGCATTTTGTAAGGAAGGGAGCAATAGCAACCTCAGTGTATACAATCCTTCCAGAATGGAGAGTCTAACTTTGGTGTTCTCAACTGTGCCCAATCTCCTCCAGGCTCAGGCCACAGTAGAGATGATCCTGACAGATGGTTTGATCCACATTTTTTGGCTTTACAATGGTGCAAAAGCTATATGCATTCAGTAGATATCTTACTTCAAATTTTGAATTATGATCCTTTTCCAGGCTAGCAGTATGCATTCTGAGACTGTGGTAATGCTGGGCAGTGGCAGTGAGCCATAGCTCCCGGTTAGCCTGTGGGATCAAGAGGGGAAGCCACTGACACTCTTTACAACAGAACTATGTTGCAAAGCTAGGAAGTTGTGTAGGTTAGGTACGTTTGATGCATTTTTACTTATAATATTTTAAATTTATGTAGAGTTTTTTGGAACACAACTGTATTGCCAGTTGAGGAGTATCTGTACTTTATTTATAATATATTGTTGAGTTACCTACATTGGCCCAGCCCTGGTCTGCCAGGTCACCAACATGATTCAGCAAATACAACAACAAAAAGAGAAGTCAGCTTTTGGGTCAAAGATAGGATAAAGGGTGGCCCATCAATGTAAGCATTCACACCTTATTTTTTTTTTAATAAAAAACCATGATATGTGTGTGTTGTGTTTGTACAAACATAAAATTTGTTTTATACATAAATATCAACAAAGTTTATAGAGAATAGCATAGAATGAATGTGTATATATATTAATTATTAAAAATAATCAGTATTTTAATGATCAATGTGATTTTTGTCCAAAAGTTCAAATTAATCTCTATAACAATTTAAAAAAAATRTCAAGGCAGAAATTTCTATATTAGCCAATTTCTAAGAAGTCAGATGACAGTATGAAGCTGAGCACATGAAGAATATGGTGGAGAGTTTCTTTATGACAACTTGTCCAGGTTCACATAAACCTGAAGAATTATTTCAGAAACATAAGGCTCAAAATAAAGATCTAAGGTATATATTGAGAGTACATTTAAATAAAAATAGCTACATATTTAGAGATCCATTTTCTAATTTAAGAGGCTATTTGAGAGGCATAATGGATGTAAACTTGACTAGAATAATTATTTGTTAGGTCACTGCACAAAGTCTATTGCTAAAAGTTTCCCATAGCTTATTATTCCATTATGATTTAACTTTCTCATATAAACTTACAGGACAAGTGTTAGAGACAAAATTTTTCATCCCTGTTTTGTGGTGTTAAGTCCAACACTTTGAAATGAAATTTGGAAACTTACTACAGCACTTTCATGCATATTATAAAACTTTATCCCAAAAGAGTTCAAGCTCTCTGCTTTTAACAAAGGCATCCTGACATACTCTTCTTCTGGTATGAAAATGAAGAATGCAGAAATAAAAATAGAGCAAACTCAAGTAGCAAGTTTGGCTTAAAAGGTCAAAAATGAAGATTAATTTTTGATATTTGCTTGTTGCTCCCCCCACTACACAAGTACATGAACACATATACATACACATGCATACCATTCACACATACCTGCTGGTTTGTTCTGCTTAAATCTTTTTTGGGAACTACAGGGAAGGTAAAGGACTCCTTATTTAATGTTCACAAGACTTCTGGGTAATAGTTTGAACAAAAGATATACTTGTCAGAACCTCCATAATTTTATAACCACATTTCTCATTTTTTTTTTTTTGCGGGAAAATATAAAATGCTGAAGACCTTTCAAAGAAACCTCAGGCTAGACTCTTTATTTGTATGCATGTGGTACTAGGGATTGAACCCAGGGSTGCTCTACCACTAAGCTATATCCTAAGCCCTTTTTATTTTGTATTTTGAGAAGAGGTTTAGCTAMGTTGCTGAGGCTAGCCTTGAACTCACAGTCTCCCTGCCTCAGCCTCCTGAGAAGCTGGAATTACAGGCAGGTGCCACCTCAACCAGCTGTGAATTATTTTTATAAAATAACACCATGGCTTGGTTTACACATGTTTCTTTTTTCTCTTAGAGTTAAAAAGTCTGATTTGGTGGAAACCCCAACTTCCTGCGTAGTAGTATAGTTTTGAGAAAGTCATTTCCTCTTCAAGGCAATCTTAAGTAATTCACTTTACTTAGCTTGAGGCACTACAAGTCACAGTGGTGTGAATTTCAATACATATTATTATGATTTCATTTTGAGCTTCTGGAGTCTCATTAGAAAACTCCAGACTCCAATTTATACAGGTGTTTAACTCAGAACTTTGAACCACTAGAAGAAGGCCTCAGAGGTACTTTTAGGTGAGGAGATTGAAAAAGAGACATACACATACACTCTACTACTACTACTACTACTACTACTACTACTACTACTACTACTACTACTATTCCTCCTCTAAAACAAAACAAAACAAAGCAAAAATCAGTGCAAAATCAAAGCAAGAGACCAAAGGTTTTTAAGAGCACCATTTAGCAAAGTGATATTCAGAAGAATCAACCCCTAGCAGTAGTGGAACACCCTGGGAAGGTCTCCTGGTTTCCAGAGCAACCAGGGAAGCCCAGATCCTCCTCTAGGTTCAGGAAGGCAACCTGGCTTCCTGATTTGAGTGATTGCATTCTAAGACCTAGAGAAAGAGATTTCTCATCAGGAAGCCTCTCAGTTAGTAATTCCCATAAATATCCGTGGCACTACCTGGATAAAACTCCGTGGAGAATATACCTTATAATCTTGCAACTGTTCAAATAGCTTYGGAAAAAAACTTTATTAAAACCTCTGGTATGTCAGGGCAATATTAATTACAGGCATTTGTGGCTATGATACAGGAAAACCATCCTAGGGGAATTTGTGCTCTTAGATATGGCAACCCAATTATATACAATCCACTCAAGGAGGCTGCTTTGCAATTGATGTCTATTTATAGTAACAGTAATGCCCCAAATATTGGGGTGATAAGATTTTTTTTTCTGCAAAGCTCAAAGTATTTTATGCATGTTTCCTAATTAATATGAGGACACAGCCTCACTTACTATAGTCATCTCAAGTGAGAAATTCAATGCCAATGCACTATGGAACTGTAAAACTGTCCCCGAAAAGGCAGACAGACCTGAGCCCATACAGCACCGTCCCATCCGGGTGAAGGCGGATCATGCGGTTTTTCACTGTCACTCCATGTACAAATGACTTTTTGTCATTTAAGAAATATGTGTCGGGCACCCATAGCTGGTCAGCCACTCGATTATCAAGGGTGAGGTTGAGAGGGATCCCAGAATAGGCGAGCCTTTTATCTCTCCAATATTGTTGAAAATACATGGTCAAGGTATAATCCTGGGGGAAGAAAAAGAAAAGAAAGATTAGTTGCTGCCCATCCATAGGTGTAATTCCTCCATGACTGGCCACATTGAGGTTGAAATCCAAGCTCTATAATGAATATCCAGGAGGAATAGATATCATTTTAAGGCAGGGTGGGAAGCAGTGGTTGTTTCCTTGTGAATGCAAATACCTGGTTTAATGGGTACAGTATATGAACAGATGTGTGTCATGCATATAAATGGTCTGTTTTATTTAGTTAGGAAGCAGA